TGATGATAAAACCTGTCTTATAACCTATAACATATATAAACACATGTACCAATCATTTGTTTTCCAGGTTATAGACATATACAAAATCTCACACCCATATAGCATACATCACAAAGTATGCTTGATGAGTCTATTTACAAAACTATAATATTAACCTACCATAATAATCTCTCACAAATATAATACACAACCCAAAAAATTGTCATACTAACACTCAACCTGAGTGATATCACACTAACTTTGCACAAGACTCAATCAACTGGATAGTGGACCGGTTTTTATGCTCCTTTATAGTACCTAAAAAGAAGAAGTTGTAGGGGTGTGAGCTAAACCATGCGCTCAGTGAGTATACATGCTGTGTATGAAATAAAAATTATAGTAATATACTGAAATACGTAGATACTACATAGATACACGTATCAAACAACAATATCAATCAAATTTCAAAGAATTCACAAGCCACATCACATCCATACTACCCCTCATCGGGTAATCGATCCCACATGGATCTGTGTCTCCCGAACCTCCCAAGAACACCACAGTGCTAGCACATCACTACACGCCTAGGGACCAGGCATCAATGCCCCTGTCTCAAATAGTGCACCACATTCTACAATACATAATACATAGTACAAAGCGTCATCCAATCACATAAGCACGTAGCACCTATTCTTGGAGAATTGCTATTAAATTATATCATTTACTATCATCTTATAATAGCATTTCTAAAATATATAAAAATATACACCCACCTCAGATGTACAAATCTACGGCCCTCTGATCCTATTGGTGGATCCTTTCGGTGTCACCATACTTGTTCCAATACCGACTGTCTCACTCGTTCCACCTAACACATTTGTAATTACAATATCAATATGATTATCATATTTAATAATTAATCATGCACTAATGCATGCAAATGATGCACCCCAAAGTGCCCCGGTAACTCCGGTTACCGCACTATTCACTCACACACTAGCACTTTTGTTCTAGGGATCACATTTTCTTTTCAAATTTCCCAAATCAATCACATTAATCACAATTAGGATTAATTTGGTCAAACACATTGACCGGGGGCCCATTTTCACACATTTCGACCTCGAATCCTAAAAACTACACTTCCGGCATTTCATACATTTCGCACTGGATATTATACTCATTTACATTCGAAACTCACATTATCACATAAAGAATCATTTGAAAATGTTGCATGCAAAATTTTAGTTCATTTGGATTAAAATTCGCACATGTGACAATAACATTTAGAAATCAGGGTTTCGGCATAATCGACGCCCGTTTCCAACCTCTATCGTAATTATCGTTTAACACCGCCACACTTAAATTCACATTCATTTTTAATCTATGAAAAACAGCCCCCTAATTGAATTTAAAATTGCCCATTTCACTCTCATAGTTTCGGTTCCAACCTAGACCTCAAAAACATACCAAACATCTCAAATAGTCATATTCCACATTTTTATCATCTTTACTTTAATACCCATTTGGAACCTATTTTTTAATAGCCCGTTAATTATGCTAAATATATTTAATGACACCCATACAAAATATGTTTTGACATTAACTAAACCAGCCCATAAAATTTGAATTAAAACAGTCCATTAAAATAAAATAAGACAGCTCATATATTTAAATTAAAACAGCCTACTAATGAAAACATGCTAAAACAGCCCACACATATACAAATATGTACATACTAAAATTAATCACAACTCAAAACTTCAATCCTTGCTCACGATTCAAATGGACACACGCACATATATTTTTTTTTCTTGATCTCTTCTTCTCTCTTTCTTTTTTTTCCTTTTTCTCTCTTTCTTTTTTTTCCTTTTTCTCTCTTGCTCTTCTCCCTCTCGGCTTCAGTACTCCATCAAACACACACACACACACACACACACCCCTTATAATTTATTTAACACACACACCCTTTACACCTTTAAACACACACACGACACTTGTTTTTTCTTTTCTTTTTTTTCCTAAGCCAACACATGTAAAGATGAGTCATGTAATGGGTTAATTACGCTTGCCTTCCCTTAAGTTTTTAAATAATTTTAATCGACCCACTAATATTTTCACACATGAAATTTCTATCAATGTGTCTCACTAATATATCTCTAATGGGGTTCACCTACCCAATGTATGCTCATGCACATCATGCCTATAAAAGATTTAATTTAATTAACCTGTTAATAATTTTACATAATTATAATTTAGCCCACAAAATTATATTGTGTGCCAAGTAGAGTCTGATGAAGCATACCTAAGAAAAAGGTCTCACGAGACTAGAATTTAAATGAAGTTCAACTATATACTCTGAAGATCAAGCCTAGGCAGTTGAATGATAAGACCAAACAAATAGATGGAAAGGTTATCCCAAAAAATCATAGGTGATGCTAAGCTGCCAATTAGGAAATCACCTAAATCATAGGTACGCACTAGAAAAATGTTACCTAAAGAATCAATGATTAAGAAAGTAAGTTTGAAGAGATTCCTACACAAATTAAGGAAGAACTCACTAAAAAATAGGTGTGCCACCTTTATAGTCAATGATTGAAACCCTAAACAAGGGTATAGATCACTATAAATACCAGGTAAAGCTTAAGTCTAAGATATCACTCTATTACTAGTAAATTCATTTTGTTTATTCTTAGACCCCAGCCCATGACAGTTTGTTTGTTTTGTAAGAAGATGTTGTTCATTCGTTTCTCCCAGGGAAACCATATTTTCAAATTCCACAATCATCAAATCAAGGTAAGATATTTTTTGCTTGTACAACTGTTATGCATAAAGTTATAGTTGTTTAGGGTGGTTATTTTTTAAAAAAATGGGGAGAGACTGGGAAAGAGGATGAGACTTGAACATGCAATCACATATAGATGAGAATGTTTAGGGAGGCAATTTGAAAATTAGTTACTTAATAATTGTGTATCTCTAGAAACAGAATCATGACTCATAAATAAAATTATAGGTATATTATGTTATAGTTTGGGAAGTATTTATTTTAAATTTTCACCAAGGGCAATACATTTTATCATGGTGGATGTTGATGGTGAAAAACGTTCATTGAGCTCCAGACATTTTGATGAGTTCAAATTGTTGTTGGCCGCCCAAGAGGCTCCCTACAAAGGCAAGTTGGAGACTAGAGAGACTCTAGGGGGTCAACCCTCCGATACTTAAGTTGATTGGCAATTGAAGAGAGAAATTTGTCACTGGAGTTCGATTGACTTACCTTGTTGATCTCTATGGACTCCCTTTTTACAGGTCGTTCAGTTAGGTCTTTAGCGGATTACCCTCCACTTATTTGAATTATCACGGTTCTAATAATGCGGCGAGGATTGACTCCTTGTTGGAATGGGAAACCTTAGCTGAGTTGAACTGGTCATAGTCATGTGTATCTGGATCTTTACCAAGCTACGAAGATGAGCTTCTCCTCTAGAGAACTGGAGTGCTCTTGCTCGTACTTATAGGATGGCGAGCTAGGACTTTAATGAGTCTCTAGCTGGGCTCATGCCAAAACTGTCAGGATCGGTTGCCCCTAAGTTTAGCTTAGTGTGGCTTGACACATGCTTTGCTATTTAATACATTTGTCTATTCATGCCTTATGAGACGGAATGAGGGACGTGTGGATGTAATCGCCAAATATCCATTATGTAGCTAGCTATATAAACGCAACCTTCCTTCGTCTTCGACACTTCAAGAATTTAGGAATCCCTAGTATGCCCTTCTTCCTCTTATCTTGATTCTATTCTTCTTGTTCTTTCCTTTTATCTTTGTTTATTTTTCAAACTATAGCACATTGGGTGGAATCACATTTTCCAATTTCACTTCTACCATTTTTGTTTTCTTCAGTGGAAGGGCTATTCTATTGACTCCTTATGGTTCTTTATAGATCAAACCAATAGATCCCAACTCAAGCTAGGTCTTGAAACATGCCTTTCTTTGCTTAACCAAGGCTCTAATTATCTTACCATAGAAAATCTTTATGTCAGACATCATTGCTTCATTCCCATGGCTAGTGACTCTAATTAGACTAACTCTGAAAGAAACCCCACTATGGTCTCTAAAGTCAATAGGGTTCATGAGGACTCTTATTCAATACTTAAAATTCCTTCTTCCTCAATTAAGGTTGTAGGGGTTAGGATTTTTTGTAGCATCCTCAATGAGACTAACTTTCTCAAAATCAGGGCTCTATACCATGTCCCAAAGTTCATTCATCTTAGGGTTCGTTCTCCAGATGAGGCCGCAAACTCTTATGGCCCTAATGGAGTGTGCCTTTATGAATCCATCCTTGAGAATGCACTTCATTTCCCAAGTACATTAGGGAGACTCTTCAATATTTAAATCTTGCCCCTACACAGTTGACTCCTAATAGTTGGGGTTTCTTGGTTGGTATAGGAGTCCTTTGGCATAGAGCTAATGACATTGGTGTCCAACCCATAATCATCGAACTCCTTCACTACTACAAGCTTACCCCTTGTGTAGGCTAAGGCTTAGGTTGGTTTCATCTTTCCAAACGAGAGAGGAGTGATCTTCTTACTAGGTATTCTTCCAATGTGAAAGAATAGAAGGACAAATTCTTTATTGTGTCTGGACTTGATTTGGAAAAAGGCCCTTCTAAACCCTCACCAGCAAGCCTTTCCTAGTTCTTCACATCTAGGGCCTCCTCATCCTGTCCATAAGTGTTACAGTTTTAGCTCTCCTTGTTATTCTAGTTTGTGTTCTTCTAAGTTCCTACTTCTTGGTGTTGGTAAAGCTAGCCCATTGGCCCTCAAGTTGAAGAGGTGAGTCAATGTCGATATCGCCCTTGGGACTCAGGATTCTAAAATCACTGTGACAAGTCAAGCCTTGTTTGAGTGTCAATTAGGCCCTGCTTTAGTGGACTCTAGTAATCCCATTCTTTCAGGTAGCAAGTTTTCTTGATGGGTTCCTCAAACAGATTTGACACTTTCTTGTCCCCCTCCTTTTGCATTGTAGCAGTCATGGCTCCCAAGCCTATAGACAAGAAACTCCTAGTTGAGCTTCAAGCCCAAAGAACTTTAAAGGGCTCGCCAGCCTATAAGAGGCCAAAATTTATCTCTGGTTGGACTAGGAGTAAGTCTTTTGGATCTTCATCATTCCCCTTAACTCCTCTGACTTCCAAAGGTGCTAAAAAGATAGGTGTTAACCTGGAGGTTGTATATAATGAGGAGATCATCCTTCTAGATGCCTCCTTAGTTAACCTTGACACTACTTTTTCTCGTTCCAAGAGCAAGGGCAAGGGAAAAGCTATGGAGACCACTGAATAGATAGGGAAAGCATTCTCCGGCACCTATTGAAGGTTGTGGTACCCTTACCCCTAACATGTGGAACAGTGTGAAGGAGGCCATGGCACGGCTTCATGAGTTTGTGCATGAAGATGATCACAAAGCCACCTTTGACCTAGGACCTAGCTGGGTGCTCAAGAACCTAGCCTTAACCGTTAAAAAGGTAAACTCTGAACTTCCTTTCTTTTTTCTCCTTTAGATGCTTTGCTCTTTGCCTTACACATTATTGATCCACTTTTGTTCTGGCCTATCTCACTATTTTGACCTTAGCCTCTCTTATTCCCCCTTTGGTGGGAAGAAGAGCTTCAAAGAAAAGATCAACGCTCTAGGTGCCAAGCTTGATGAGAGATCTAGTGAGCTGTTGTCCGAGTAGGGGAAACCTTGGAAGAGATGAAAAGGTACGAGAAAACAACGACTGCTTTGCTCGAAGCCAAATGGAAGATTGAGGATCTCCAAAAGAACAACAACATGCTCGGTAGAAAGTTGTTTGCTTCTGATAACAAATTTGTCAAACTTTCGAAAAAGGTCATAGACTTTGAAAGCAAGGTGACCATTCTTTCTAACAAAATTGACCATATCTTTACTGGCTCGAGGTCTGCTAGTGACAGTGATGTGAAAGAATACTAGGACTCCATGGAGTTCAAAAAGGAAGTCTTAGAGTACTGGATTGATGGCTTTGAAGAGTTCAAGACGCGTGCCTCCAAGGAGTATCCAGATCTAGATTTCTCCAATTTCAAACTTGTCAATGCTCAAACTTCTGTGCTTGAAGGGGGTATAGGAGAGAAGGATGGAGAAGAATTTATTAGTAAATCTATAGTCCCTGCTAAAAAGGGTGTTGGCGTAAAAGTTAATACAACTAAGGATGGTAGTCCTTCAGGTTTGGCCACTGAAACTCTCAGAACTACCACATAAGTCAATACCAATGCTACCATGGAGGGTATTGGAGCTATGGAGAGTATTGGGATTGGAGAGTTTCTCTTATTTTTCACAATGGACTTCTTTGTCTTGTAAATAGGCTTTCTTTTGCTATTTATACTGTGAGTGCATTAAGCTGCTAATTAAATCCAAAGGCTTGATTGAACTAGGTGAGGTGCCTAAAGTCGCTAATGAACCTCTCATATTCAATTTGAGCTAGGTGAGGTGTCTTAAGCTTCTAATGAACCTCTTAGGTTCAATCTGAGCTAGGGGAAGTGCCTCTTAGGTTCAATCTGAGCTAGGCGAGGTGGTTCTCTAATCTTTTTATACCTAAAAAACTAGAGTGGATGCTCTTTCGATGTGGCACTAAAATCTATGCGGTGTGGCTCAATTTTTTGAGACTTGTAGTGTTGCTAGTTGAAATAACATGTTTATTAATGCTAGCTAAAAGGCTAGAGAAAAATCCTTATTACAATCGAAGAAAAAGCATAATTATTGGTAAAACTTCTTGAAGTTTTCTGCAATCCAAGGGTTAGCTATCTTGACTCCCTTCTAAGGTCTATAGGTGATAAGTTCTAAGCCTCAAGACTTTCTCTACTTGATATGGCCCTTCCCATATTGCTCCTAATTTCCTTTCTTTGGGATATTTGGTAACTGAGATTACCTTCTTCAACACAAGTTCATCTGGCAAGAACCCCTGTGGCTGAACTTGAGAGTTATAGTACTTGGTCACACTATTTTGATATACTGACACCCTCATCTGGGATTCCTCCCATCTCTTTTCTAACCAATCCAAGTGGTAAACCAACTGTTCTTCATTATGTGCTAGATTAAATTCCTTGGTTCAGTGAGTGGCCAACCCAATTTCCAATGGGATGACTACTTCAGTGCCAAACATCAAGAAAAATGGAGTTTCCCCTGTGGGTGACCTTACTATGGTCCTATAAGTCCACAAGATACTTGGGAGTTATTCCACCCAAAGCCCTTTAGATTGTTCTACCCTGATCTTAATGCTTTTGGGCAAAATCCAAATGGTTACCTCTGTCTACCCATTCACCTACAGGTGACTTGGAAAGAAATAGTAATTATGGATTTTAAGCTTAGAACAAAATCTCTTGCACTTTTCATTGTCGAATTGTTTGTCATTGTCATTGATGATGACCACTAGGATGCCAAATCTGCAAACAATAGATTTCCACACAAACCCTTGGATTTTCTATTTGACGATCGTTGCTAATGGTTCTACCTTTAACCATTTTGTGAAATAATATATGGAAACAACAATACATTCGTGATGTCCCTTCCTAATTGGGAGGGACCTACAATATCAATTCTCCATTGGGCAAATAGCCACGGGCTCACTATTGGGATAATCTCTATAGCAGTAGCTTTGGCACTACAACAAACTTCTGACATTTCTCGCACTTCTGTACATAGTTTCGAGAATTTCTCTTCATCATGGGCCAGAAATTTCTTTGCATGAGAATCTTTTGGGCAAGGGCATGTTCTCCCAGGTGATTTCCACACCATCCTTTATGTATCTCTTTATGCATGTACGCTGCTTTGTTGGGCCTTAAACATCTAAGGTTTGGGAGAGAGTATCCCCTATTGTAGAGCACTTGGTTGGGAAATGTGTACCTAGCCACCCTCCTTCAAAGCTGTCTGGTTTTCTGGGTTACTTATGGAAGAGTTTTGTGTTGTAAGTATGTCAATAGCTCATCTAACCATCTCGACTCCTAATCAACTGGTTGGATATCAACATTCTAAGTGTTTGGCTTTGGTAGGAATTCTATGGAATTGGTTCTAACCAAGTTATCAGAAAGATTTGAGGCTAGGGATGCTAGCGAGTCTGCATGAAAATTCTTCGAGCATGGCACCTGGCGATCTCAAAGTGCTCAAAGCCTAACACAATCTTCTTCACAATACTTAAGTATGAGCTTATTCGGGGATCTCTGGCTTCATAATCTCCTTTCAATTGCTTTATTTCTAGTTATGAGTCACTATGTACTTTGAGGCATTTTATGTAGAGCAACCAACAAGTTATCGTCCTGAAATGAGGGCTTCATATTTCGCTTCGTTGTTTAAGGCCTTAAATTCGAAGCGCAGAGCATACTCGATTTTATCCTCTGTTGGGGAGATGATAATTAACCCAAATCCTCCTCTATATGAATTGGAGTAGCCATCAACATGCATCTGCCATTCTGACCGTTGGAGGTCAGTTTCCACTAGCTCGGCTGCCACCAGCTTGGCTGCTTCTTTAGTGAATTATGCTATTGGATCGGCTAACACTTGCCCCTTGATAGAGTTTCCTGGTACATACAGTATATCAAATTCTCTTAGCTTGATAGACCACTTTGTTAGTCACCTAGACACATCAGGCTTTTGAAGGATTTGCCGTAAAGGAATATTAGTTATTAGCACAATCGTATGCACCTAAAAATAAGGTCTCAACTTCCTAGAGGCTGTGACTAGTTCAAAGGCCACTATTTCCATTGTAGGGTAACTAGCTTTTGTCCCCCCCCCCTCCTTAGTGTTCAATTTATGTAGTAAATCGAATGTTGAGCCTTGTCTCACTGGTAAACTAAGACTACACTGGTCGCTTCTGGTGACTCTCCAAGATATAAGTACAACTATTTCCCTTATTCTCATTTGTAGGAGCAAAAGAACTCTACAAGTAGTAGCTTCAAAAAAATTTCAAGCATATTGCCAATGAAGTTAACCTATTTGGATAAATCTCCAATTTGAATGGGCTCTTGGTCTTCTGAGCTGCTACTTTGTCACCTCTTTTACTTGGAAATGTAAAAAGAGGTGGTACATTGACAGTATCACCTTCATTAAGTTAAGGCTTGATCACCCTAAAATGACATTGTAGGCTCCCAAGATGTCCCTTTTGGATGAGATCCTTTATCTGGTCCTTGAGGACTTGGCAATTCTTGATGTTGTGGCCATGGTCCCTATGGAACCTATAGTATTTGTCTCTAGACCTCTTACTGGGGTGAGTTCGCATCTTTGCTGGCCATTTAGGGACCCTTTTATCCTGAATATGAAAAAGAATCTGCTCGACTGGGGTGTTCAATGGTGTGTACCTGCGAACCTGCCTATTTGGAGACCAAGGGCCCATACAATCTCTTGCACTTATGCGTTCAGTTAGATTCTTTTTTGGACTACTTGCCCTTTCCCCCTACCTGATTGTTCATGCGTCTTTCTCTCCTTGTGTATGTCCTCTTGGTTCCTCCAAACGAGAAGGGTATCTTCAACATTCATGTGGCTTTGGGCTCTTGATAAGAGCTCAATCATACTATGCGGTGGATCTTTGGAAAGGGAGACAAGGAATTAGGATGGTTGAAGACCTCCTGTGAAAGCAATAAACGCTACTTTATCATCCACATTTTTTATTTGAAGTCACTCTATGGTGAATCTATTGACAAAGCTTCTAAGTGTCTCATTCGTGGTCTGCTTTATGTTTAAGAGGTAAGTGGGAGGCCCTTTGTGTGCTTGGCCAGCAATAAAGTGTGAGATGAAGGATATGCAAAGCTCTCCAAATGAGCTGATAGGATTGGGTTTTAGCTTATTGAACTAATGCCTTGTAGTTCCTTTGAGGGTCGTCGCAAAAGCCCTGCACATATTTGGTCTGGAACACTATGCAGCATCATTCAAGACTTGTAAGTCTCCGAGTCATCAAGTAGGTCTTTTATTCCATCAAAACTTTCAATTGCTGACATTTTGAATCTCTCCAGGATAGGATAATTTGACACATCGGGAATGAAGGGCGACTCTGTGTATTGAACCAACATTTCTATGGCCTCTGCGACCCGAGCTTTCACTACAAGATGTTACCTAGCTTGTTATTAACCTTCTGGAAATTTTGTTCCCATCGTCGTTGACTTTTGCCCGAATGACCTCATTTTGGCTATGTTCTTCATTTTCATGATTGTCATCTCCATGCTCTCGGATCTAGGATAGGTCCTTTTCTGGGTGTTGCTGGGTAGTAAGAAGTTGAAGAATTTGTTGGTTCTAAAGAACCAGTACACTGTTCTCTCTAGCTTTTTAACCCTTGTTTTTTCCTTTTTTGGAGGTGCTGCATTCCTCTAGTCCACTAGATGCGATCTTGGGTGTTCATTATTGTGGGTTTGATCCTTAACATGATCCTTTGACTTTGTGATGACCATCAAATCCAAAGTCTCGTTAATAGGTTTTGGAATTGGAAAACTTTTGTTTCGGACAAACGGCGCCAATTGTTGATGGTGAAAAACGTTCACCGAGCTCCAATCGTCTTGGTGAGTTCAAATGGTGCTTTGTCCACCCAAGAGATTCCTTGCAAAGGCAAGTTAGAGACTAGAGGAACTCTGTAGATCGACCCTCCAATACGTAAGTTAGAGAGAGAATTGAAGACAGATAAATTTGTCACTCGAGTTGGATTTACTTACTTCGCTTATATCCATGGAATCACACCTTATAGGCCATTAGCGGATTCCCCTCCGCTTATTTAAAAAATCACGATTCTAATAGTGCGACAAGGATTGAATCTTTGTTGGAGTGGAAAACCTTAGTTGAGTTGAACTGGTCAATGTCATTTGTGTGGATCTCTTCCGAGCTATGAAGATGAGTTACTCCTCTAGAGAATTGGAGAG